ATTATATATATAGACATCTATATATGTATATAGACTATATATAGGAAGTGGTTATTCTCACCACGGCCCATGTCTCGCTAGCTATTGTCACCCCTTCGTTTTACCGGAAATGACCCTAGAGGGACCAGGGCTGAGATTAGCGGGCAGAGGGGGTCAGGGTTGACGCTCCACAGCATCACGTTCGTCACTGTTCGTGTCCGAATAGTCACAGTCAGAGTTGTCGGTTTGGAGCCAAATATATATACCTATTATTGAGTAATCTAATTTAGATCTATATTCAAGTGTTATGCTTCTTTTACTTTTACTTTTCAAAGTTAAAGTGTCCCAGTCCTAAGGCTACAGCAAATATATCTTCAATCGAATAAGCAGAATGCATCCTTAATGAGTTCACATTGTCTTGCAAGTTATATATATTGCACTGCTTATTCTGTTACAAAGTAAGGAATTTAATTTAAAGATATTTTTGAAAGTGGTCATTGATTGGTATTCTTAAATTGTTGGAAATAGCATGCATGCAGGAGACTCACTATTCCCAAATCATTTTATAGATTGGCTCTTATATATTGTTTTTTAAACTTGTTTTCCCATTGTATTGCAATAGTGTCGCCTTACAGCAATTCCCTTTTGAAGCAACCCTTGGTTACTGCTATGGAAGAAGCTACTGCTAACTGCATTTTATTTTCAGAGGGGGATGATTTCCCACCCACCCATTCCATTCAGACACCACACACTCAACCAAGACTGTGCGAACCTTTTTAAAATAATAATTTGCTAGAACCAAGAATCATCTTTAAAATAAAATAGAAGTGGTAAACGTCACATCGCACCACACAAAAGCTACTCAATTTTTAGACATTTGTTTTTATTGTGCCTTGGTATTATAAACATTGTGCCTTGGTATTATAAACATGTGTACCAGTAATTTAATGATGTAAAGGTACTGTTACATTTTCATGATCAGGACTTGGCTGTTTTGATTGGTGCTTCTTTTTTCCGAAACCTACTGATACCGTCCGAAACCTACCGAAACTGTGATATACTATGAAAGATCAAGGCTAGAGAGAGAAAGGCTTATAAGAGAGAGAGCAGAGATGGAGAACGAGAGTGTTTGTAAGAGAGAGACAGTGAGAGAGATAGAGAGTGAAGGAGAGAGGTTTTATAAGAGAGAGGGAGATATTATATAGAGTTTGTGAGAGAGAGACAGTGAGAGAGAGTTAAGAGGGACATTAACTCTGAATAGTTGAGAAAAAAGTAAAAATAAAGGAAGGAAGGAAGGAAGAAAAGAACAACCTCC